ACATTTTAGTCATTTAGCAGACGCTCTTATCCAGAGCGACTTACAGGAGCAATTAGGGTTAAGTGCTTTGCTCAAGGGCACATTTACGTCATTTAGCAGACGCTCTTATCCAGAGCGACTTACAAATTGGTGCATTCACCCTATAGCCAGTGGGATCATCACTTTCCAATTATTATTTTTTTGTTTGTTTAAAAAAAAAAATGGGGGGGGGGGGTAGAAGGATTACTTTATCCTATCCTGGCGTCGTGAGGGAGCTTGTTCCACCATTGGGGTGCCAGAGCAGCGAACAGTTTTGACTGGGCTGAGCGGGAACTATGCTTCCGCAGAGGAAGGGGAGCCAGCAGGCCAGAGGTGGATGAACGCAATGCCCTCGTTTGGGTGTAGGGACTGATCAGAGCCTGAAGGTACAGAGGTGCCGTTCCCCTCACTGCCAAGCAGAGATGCACTGGGTCAAACTCCCAACCCTCCAATCTCAGGGTGGACACTAACCACAAAGCCACTGACTTGTTTACAACTACATAAAATCCTTAATATAGAAAACGTTCAATTGTAAGATATAAAAAAGGGATCATGAACCCTCAACATGACATTTTCTACTAACAAAATTATGAAATACGATATTTAAGTCTGTTGGCTCAGTTTGTTGCAAAAGGTTCTACATTGTATGCAGTTCAAAATAACTATTTTAAAATCAGTCACCCAAAAAGAAAATGTATTATCAATAACTAGCCTAATAAAAAAGCAAGTCAGACCATTTCTTTTTCTCTTTGCAGAGTCACTGGCTTGGGTTAAACCCTTCGCTAGAACTCTGCTACAACGACCCAGGAGCCTCAGCAGTGATCAACCTCAAATAAACCTGTTGGAATCAATGGAAATTATATGACTGAAATTCCCCTCAAAAGTTCAAATATATATTTCTGATGTATCTATTTTGCAAGATTTTGTCAATGTTTTGTATAGCTGTGCAGATAATTCATTAACATGTATAACTATTAGACCTACGTATGTCCTTACATCTTGGATTTTATTTAAAAAAAGAAACTGAAGTTTTGTAAACATTGATTACAATTTTTATATCTAGTCACCATTGACCCAGAAGAAAACACAGTTGAAGCAAAGACCTTAATCTTTATTTACTCATTATGTAGCAGCAGAATTACAGAAATATAATCACAAGAATAAACAAATGTCCAGAGACAAAAATACATTATTTCATATGTATGACAAAACAAGGAGGGTGACTTCTCTGACGCAGTGCCTTAGATACGAAAGCTCAACAAAGAACAGTTGATAGGTGAAAAACAGAGGTGAAACTCGTCAGCAAACTGACTGACAACCCAAAACACAGCTCACTCTGTTGGCAATAGAAGTCTCTTATCACTTCTCCCTTTGATCTCATGTCAAGCTCTTCACAGCAACAGTAATGTTGACAAGCACACACCAACAAGAGCTTTCTGCAACATCTGATCAGAACAATCTCCACCTACAGTTTCCCTTTTTTACCTCAAAACTATGAATCTCAACAGGCCTGAAATAAGGACAAACATAAACATGTATACAGTTTAGGGGTTAAGCTGCACAGCAGTTCAACAGTGAAAGTGATCACATTTTTTGTATTGCAACATAACTGCAACCAGGGATGGATGACATTAAAACATTAAATCACACTGCATTGGTTTAGGTGGTCATGGAACTAAAAGCAGATCACTGACACTGTCTAGACTGAAGAATGATTAGTCAAGAGTTCATCTAGAGACAGAACATTAGACAAGGGAGATGTACAGTCTTGACTCATGACACAAAGGGAATCTGGTAAACGTACTACACTGATGGTTTGTCAAGGCACACTGAACTTCACAACTGATAACCCCTGTCTCACATTACAACATGGATATTCATATTCACATGAGATAATGACAACTGATTTGTGGATGGAGACCATGTGTGTGCTATTTTTCCAACTCAAAGTGAAACATTTCAGCTAGTATTTTCAGATGAATGTGATGAATTCAAACAGTTAAGCAATAGATACATCGAAATGAGTGCTTGGAACATAACCAGACATTAGAACCACAAAATAATGTATTTCCACAAGTCCAATGTACTAAAGGGTCAATATGCCTCAAATATTTTCTCTAAAAACAGTATAATTGGTCCAGTGGCAGATGCGGTACCAACAGATATTCTCCACTCTGAGGTCAAGCTACTTCATCACACAGAGAGGAGAAACTTGGAGGTTGGCTTTCTCTATTTGTATGGCATTACTATTCCACAATATCATGTGCTCTTGAAAGTCCCCCATAGAAATAGAAGAGGCTTGGACATCAGTATTCAGAGATGTGATCATCTATTGTGTTTAGGCCAAACTGACATTTTGGATAGGTGAAACCAAATGTGGTTTTCAAAATAGTATCCATTTTCTGTGGGAATAAATATAACTAATTCTATGCTGGAACGGTGTCCATTTCATGTATTCCATTTATGGTTAGCCTAGAATGAGTCTAGTAGACTGTTAGAGATCTGGTAGTATACACACACACACACACACCTAACTGTACACTGGAGTTCCGTCCAATGTTTTAACAATTATATACTGTACTGCATACATGTAAACCAAACATTCGTTATTAAAAAAAACATGTAATCTGACTCATGGGTAATAAACTTTCTAAATGACATTTTAAAATGGAGTAGTCCTACTTTCTCAAGACAGAATGATAAAATATGAAAAATGCTTACATGAGCATATAGGGATCTGTGCAACAACTGAAAAGTTCTCATTCCATCTGTTTATGTCAATATGTCAAACAGACTACTGTTTATTAGATATGGAATAACAGTAGTATCACCTTTCATCTAAAGCAGAGTAGAGCAACATGGTTTAAAATGCATATTCATTTGGATGGAAATGACAGAAGAGGAAAACTGTTGGGAGAGTACCTTAATGTAATTTACAAAATATTTGTACAAAAACAATGTTAATATCCATGAAAGCTGCATGATTTAAAATGAGTAAAAAATGTACAAATGAGTAAAACATTTAGGATGTTTTGAACGGAACATATGACAAGAGATACTCCTCACGCTGCCTGCTCACAGCCATCACACTATAGAAACACAATTAAGACTGAACCACAAGGTTAATATGAGTATAAACATCGCATTAGAAGTGTCCATCACATCTGCACATAGCACCATAGATAACATGAGAATGGCTCGCTCTATGGCTGTGTTTACAGGCAGCCCAATTTAGATTTTTCACTAATTGGTCTTTTGACCAATCAGATCAGCTCTGAAAAATATCTGATGTCAAAAGACCAATTAGTGGAAAAAATATCAGATTTGAACTGCCTGTCTAAACACAACCAAAGGAAGAGATTTTAAGCACGTTCCAATGCCCATACTAGCATAGCATACCAATAGACTATCGTACATGCCCAATACATTGGTTCATAGGAAGTGGTATGCTAGTGCGGCTATTGGAACAGAGCCTTTGTGTTGCAGTGAGTCCTTAGTGATGTTGCATGGGAGAGGTACTGCGTGTCTATTTCACACAGCTCTGCCCTGAACACTGACAGTAGTAGTTCAACATCTGTCAGTACATGAACCAGAAACCAACCAAAAACTACAACCACACCACACACAAGACAAGGTCTGTTAACTTACGCAGATTGTTACAGTACACAGAATCGTAGGCTACAGATAGCAATATGCTGTAAATCCTTCATAAAAATGACACACACCACTCATGTATGTGTACACACAATGTATCGACTTAAAATACAAATGTTTTGTGGGGGTGTAGGCAGAGATATGCAAGCCTACGAACAGGAGCTAGTTACACTCAAGAGACATCAAAACGAAGACTGTATACTCACTATGGGAAATCCGACTGAATTGACTGACTGGTTCACTCAGTATAAATAGGCATCCGATGAATTCAACACTTAACAGACACAACATCTTTAGAAAAATCTCAATTATTACTCCAAAAATATAGTGAAAATGTATAAATGCATGGACAATGTGTTAATGTATATACCTTGCCAAAAAAACATTACAAATTATTTTTTAAATGTAAGTCAACAAGTACACGTTTGCTCTAACCCCAGAGCCTCTGGATGGATATAAGGATTGGCTGGTCACACAAGACAGTTTAAAGTGCTTAATGTTTATAAAATCACACAATGCTTCACTTTCCCCAGTAGAAAGCATCCTTCTATTCACAATATACTGGAAATGCTTCCAAATCCAATTCTAAAATCCCCCACCAAACACAAGTTGAACATACGCAAATTCTTTATAAGCATTACAATGGAGAAAGCCTGTGTGTACTATTGTGTAATAATACGCAACTAAATGCAGACAATGGGAAGTGCCAAAGGAAGAGATATGATGAGATATGTTGGACAGATACACCGACTGCTGTATGATCTGACTGAAGTTGTGCACTCACAAACAAGAACACGTTAAGATGCCTTCATCTGGCTGCCCTTCTCGTTCACGCTCGCGTTTAAATCTCAATCTATCCGCCATCCGTCTTTCTCTCTTGCTTTAACTTTCTGTATCCCTCTCCTGCACTTTCTCCTTCCTCCCACCCCTGTTAGGCCATTAATAACACAGCACAGTATGAAATAGAATAACCACTGCATATGTGAGACTGATGGATACATGAGTTACTCTCCACTGACCCAGCAAGAGGAGTACTCACTCAACCAATTCATCATAACGGCGTCTGTCCAGCCGTCCGTCTGTCTATGAATGCATGTACTGACATTCATCAAAAATATGAGCTGGGGTACACGAGTACATCTGATAACATCTTTAAAACGTCTTCATGTTCTTAGGGTGTTCATAGCATGCTCAGACACCACTCTACCCCCTTTCTCCATATCGGTGTTGCTTAGAGGGGTTGTATTGTAAGCAGAACACACAGCCTGCCCCAGAGTGGGCAAAAGTCACTAGAACCTCCATCAGTGTATCTGTGGTCCCAGGAAAGATCACTGCTCCTGTAGGCTCTCCAGCAGGTCCTCTATCTTCTCCATGTTCTGGGAGGTGCTCATGGACGTCTGCATGTTGGACTGCATGGGGGTCTGTAAACTGGTCTGCATGGGGGTCTGGAAGTTGGTCTGCATGGGGGTCTGGAGGTTGGTTTGCATGGGGGTCTGGAGGTTGGTCTGCATGGGGGTCTGGAGGTTGGTCTGCATGGGGGTCTGGAGGTTGGTCTGCATAGGGGTTGTTTCTATGGCAGTCTGTATATTGGTCTGCATTTCAGTCTGTATGTTCGTCTGCATTGGGGTCTGTAGGTTGGCCTGCAAGGCATTTTCTAAGCTACTCATGGCGTTTTGTAAACCAGTTTGCATGGGTGTCTGAAGATTAGTATGCATGGGTGTGGCGGTCTGGGCCATGTTTGGGTCCAGAAGAGGCTGGATGTGGCTGGCCTGCAAAGGGTTGGGGTTCTGGGACTGGCTCTGGGCAGACATTGTAGGACCAGAGGACGTCATCAGCTGGGAGGAATCTGAGGAGAAAAGGATGTCACACAAAGACTCTTAAAATGTATCAATGCAGTATTATATCAAGTAAATCAATATTCCTCTACTATTGTCCATGCGGAGTACTGATCCTGTCAGGTAAAGCAGTCTCACCGTTCTGGAGGCCGAACACAAACAGGTTGGGTTGTCCTCCTGGCTGGCCAACGTTCCCGCTCACTCCCGTCTGGAACAGCTGCTCTGGGGGTCTCTTACCAGGGGAGGATGTGGTACTCTGCAGCCCCACCACCCCCAGCCCACTCTGCATTACAAAGATAGTTGCCCCTGCTGCAGCCTGGTTTCCTAGTTCCTGTGTGGCCATGCTACCCTGCAGACCAGACAGAGAACCCTGTGGCAGGAACAGCTCCACCTGCTGGCTGGGAGGGCCACTGACTGAGCTGGAGCCCACCTGCATGGGCTGCTGCCCCTGGAACAGACCCTGCGGAGGGGGATTGCTGGAGGCAGGGGTCCCCCCTACAGAGGAGCTCTGGTCCTGGAAGAACATGGGCTCCGCTGGGTCCGTCTGGGCCACCCCTACCCTGACCCCCACCATGGTGGGCTGAGAGAACAAGAGGGACGCAGGGGCGTCCTGGGGGCGAGGGGTGCTGTTGCTGCCCATGGAGGGGCCCTGGGCCTGGGTACTAAAGAGGAGGGCTGGGGGCAGAGCCTGGGGTTTGAGGGAGGCGGTGCAGAGAAGGAGGCCGGTGGGCTGGGGCTGAGGGTGCTGGCTGGGGGGCAGAGTGCTAGTCTGGAACAAGGAGCCCTGCTGAGCCATGGGAAGCTGCTGGGTTTGCTGTAGTTGTGTCTGCTGGGGGGACTGCTGCTGGTCCATGGGGGTGCTCTGCTGCTGCTGCTGGGTCTGAGGCTGGAACACTGACACAGTCTGGGGCTCACAGGCAGAAGTCTCCATGGAGGAAAGGAATGCTAGCTGCTGTTGACTACCCTGGTTAGAGAGAGTGTTGGGAGAAAGGAACAGTGTGGACCCTGTGGCCTGCTGCTCCTGACTAAGGCTACCACTGGTCAGCACAGTCAGAGTGTTCTGCAGCAGGGCGGCTTGGACCTGGTGCTGGGGGCTGGGGGTCTCCGACAGAGGCCTTGGGGACTGGAAGAGCTGCTGGGGGGGAGAGGAGTGGGAGGGGGGCTGCTGGGGGAAGCTGGAGGTCTGGATGGTGAGCAGCTCCCCAGCCTGCTGGAGGAGAGACACAGGCTGCTGCTGGGGATGAGATGAAGAGTGGATCTGTGGCTGGAGGAACTCAGCCTGGAGCTGCTGTTGTAACTGTTGTTGTAGCTGGTGCTGTTGTAGGTTGCCTAGTGCTTGGTTTTGTTGTTGTTGCTGCTGAAGTTGTTGATGATCCTGTAGCTGTATGTTGCCAAGTACCTGCTGCTGCTGTTGAAACTGTTGATGTTGTAGGTTACCCAGTATCTGTTGCTGCTGTTGCTGCAGTTGTTGTTGATCCTGTGGCTGTAGTAATAATTCTTGTTGTAGCTGTATGTTGCCAAGGACTTGCTGTTGCTGTAACTGCTGTTGCTGCATGTTGCCAAGGATCTGCTGTTGTTGCAACTGCTGTTGTATCTGCTGCTGCTGCTGTTGTTGTATCTGTATGTGTTGTTGTGTGGCCAGAGAGCCCTCAGCTCCCCCCAGTCTCAGGCTGTTCATGGTGTCCTGTACGTGTTGCTGCAGTGAGTCAGTGGAGGCCGTGGGGCTGTACAACACTGAGTTGAGCTGCTGCTGAGCCACTGCTGCCTCCATGACCTGTTGTACCAGGTCGCTGCCCCCCGCCTGGAGCTCCCTTACTGCCCTCTCCAGCTGGGCCACCCCGTCCTGGGACATGCCCACTAACACCACCTCGCTGCTGGGGTTGGAGGCATCTTGAGGCAGGCTCTCCTGGGGGTCCCGGAGGAACTGCTGGGGTAACTCTGGGGGGACGGGGGGGAGGGTGGTGTTGTCGCTGGAGACAGGGAAGGAGGTGGTGGGGGCGATGTCCTGCTTCTGGATGGTGCAGAGGGGCTCCAGGGAGGGGAAGACCGGGGACTGGGGGAAGTCCACGTCCCCATGCTGGAGAGGCATGGGGCTGGGGAAGGACTCAGCACTAGGCGGGGTGCTGGAGCTCAGCGCCAGGGTTTGCTGGACCGAGACGAGGGCGTCAGACGACGGCTAAAGGAAGGAGACAAAAAGAGTGGAATTAAATATTTTGTAGAATCTACACACTTCCCTACAATTTGGCCAATGACTCTGGATCCAGATGTCTTATTTTATTGATACAACTAAAGAGTGATGTCCCAGCAAAACCATCTGATCATAAATGTACATACAAGGATCCTTGGTTAAATATGATCGGTAAAATATGATTGGTATATTGCTCCTACCTTGAAGAGTGCTGTGGATGGGGTATTACTGGAGACCTCCATAGGGGTGACCTCCTGTCGTTTGACCAGTTCACCAGCAGACTGGGCAGGGTCAGAGGCCAGAGACTTGATCTGGTCCTGGAAGGTGCAGGCCTTAGCCAGAGAAGACCCCTCTGTCTTCACAGACATGTCCAGGGAGTGCTCTGGTTTGGGACAGAACAGAAACGCAGGTTGAACAAGAGAGAAACACACGCATTGTATACCATAGATGGAGCCTTAGTGAACCCTTCTATGCCGTTCATCACTCCTTTCTTAGCAGTGCACACACCTGAGTCTGGGGTATATGTGAAGGGCTGTACGTCATGTGACCTCCCGGCGTTGGTCATGATGTAGACGCCCACAGAGACAGGAGAGGAGACAGACAGGTTGTGGTAGGGAGGAACCTTCACTATCACATGGTTCTAGAGGAAACACAGCAACATCATTAGGATTAGGACAAAGTCAGCTCATGATCCGTATGCATTACTCATACATTGATATCAATGGGCTACCTGATGGAACAGCTCCATGTCAATCTCTGCCTCGGCCTGCCACGAGTTATCATCTGGAAAGAAAAGGAATCAATGTTTTATCAATCTTTTTTTATTTACAAAAGCCACTCAATGAGGAGATATCACAGACATCACAAAGAGAGGAAGAAGACAGGCATGTTAGTGCTGGTACCTGCTGTGTTCTCCTGGAAGATGACCTTGGTTCCTTTGAGAAAGTTCTTCCCTATGATGAAGAGCTCCTCTCCTCCTCTCACTGAACAGCTGTGGAGACTCTTCTTCAGGATCTCTGGCACCCCCGCTGGCTGGGCTGGGGAAGGACACAAACACAGCAGAGTATTTGTATTTGTATTTTATTTTACCTTTATTTAACTAGGCAAGTCAGTTAAGGAGCTACGTGGTGTGCCAGCTTTTGTTCCAGCCCGACACGAACACACTGAATTGAATGAAACATCAAACAAGCACATATACATCCAAATTTACTTTTTACTCTCGATACCCAATAGTTATTTGTGTTTGTATGAATAGGGTGGTAGTTGACGCACTGCAGAGGATGGGTGAGGAGGTGGTCTGCAGGGTGAGGACAGACCCATCAGGCTGGGGGATGTTGACCCTAAAGGCCAGCCTGGCCCGGGTGCTCTTCTTCTTGGACCCGGCAACCCCAATACGAGCCTCCACGTCCGCGTTACGCAGCTTCAGGATCCCCACACAGTCAACCCTGTCAAGATTCAACATTACAAAATGTTCAGATGATGAAACACAAACACACAGTAACACACTGATATTTCAACAATGCTTCAATTTTCATTAACTAAATGAATGAGTCCCTTACGCTAGTGACATGGCGTTGCTGGGCTCCAGAGGGATCTCTATGACAGTGGTTCCCTCGATGTCCACTTCCTTGCAGGCTTTGGTGTTGCGGCCCGTCACCCTGCAGGCCTGGTAGAACCCATGAGGCTTCACTCTGCCTGTGTCACTGGCCACAAACACCTGCAGCACCACCGGCTCACTGACGCCCTCCAACTGGAGAGAGAAGGAGAGAAGATGGTGAGTAGAGCTGAGAGTGCAACATAGCTTAACACACACAAATCAACCTAATGACTAATCTATCTTATTTAATGGTTGTAAAAATAAAGTGTCTCACCTTGACCGTGGGGAAGCCCTGTTGGGTGCGGTCTTTGACAGAGCCGCGGCTGCCCTCGGTCAGGTAGCGTGCCCGGTGCTGGGTCTCTGGCTGCAACAGGATCTTCAGCTCCTTGCCCTCACTCTTCTGGGGGTACTGACCTGACAGAATACATCCCTTCAGCAGGCACCCAGCCTCCAGAGAACTGGAGAACACACGACACAAATAAATTCATTAGACCCTAATCAATGGCTGTCACATGACTGGGAATATAGATATACATCTGTTGGTCACAGATACCTTTAAAAAAAAAAAAAAAGTAGGGGCATGGATCAGAAAACCAGTCGGTATCTGGTGTGACCACCATTGGCCTCATGCAGCGCGACACATCTCCTTCGCATAGAGTTGATCAGGCTGTTGATTGTGGCCTGTGGAATGTTGTCCCACTCTTCAATGGCTGTGCAAAGTTGCTGGATATCGGCGGGAACTGGAACACGCTGTCGTACATGTCGATCCAGAGCATCCCAAACATGCTCAACGGGTGACATGTCTGGTGAGTATGCAGGCCATGAAAGAACTGGGACATTTTCAGCTTTCAGTTATTGTGTACAGATCCATGCGACATGGAGCCATGCATTATCATGCTGAAACATGACGTGATGGTGGTGGATGAATGGCACGACAATGGGCCTCAGGATCTCGTCACAGTATCTCTGTGCATTCAAATTGCCATTGATAAAATGCAATTGCGTTCGTTGTCCGTAGCTTATGCCTGCCCATACCATAACCCCACCATGGGGCACTCTGTTCACAACGTTGACATCAGCAAACCACTCACCCACATGACGCCATACACTGTCTGCCATCTGCCCGGTACAGTATAAACCAGGATTTATCTGTGAAGAGCACACTTTTCCAGCATGCCAGTGGCCACCGAAGGTGAGCATTTGCCCGCTGAAGTCGGCTATGACGCCGAACTGCAGTCCGGTCAAGACCCTGGTGAGGACGACGAGCACGCAGATGAGCTTCTCGGAGATGGTTTCTGACAGTTTGTGCAAACCCACAGTTTCATCAGCTCTCCTCCGGGGTGGCTGGTCTCAGACGATCCCGCAGGTGAAGAAGCCGGATGTGGAGGTCCTGGGCTGGCGTGGTTACACGTGGTCTGCGGTTGTGAGGCTGGTTGGAGGTACTGCCAAACTCTCTAAAATGATCTTGGAGGCAGCTTATGGTAAAGAAATGAACGTTCAATTCTCTGGCAACAACTCTGGTGGACATTCCTGCAGTCAACATACCAATTGCACACTCCCTCAAAACATCTGTGGCATTGTGTTGTGTTACAAAACTGCACATTTTAGTGGCCTTTTATTGTCCCCAGCACAAGGTACACCTGTGTAATGATCATGCTGTTTAATCAGCTTCTTGATATGCCACCCCTGTCTGGTGGTTGGATTATCTTGGCAAAGGAGAAATACTCACTAACAGGTATATAAAAAAAACTTTTTTTTTTTTTTTTTTTGAGAAACACTTTATGAGTATGGAACATTTCTGGGATATTTTATTTCACCTTATGAAACATGGGACCAACACTTTACATGTTGCGTTTATATTTTTGTTCAGTCCAAAATTACTTTACATTCTGTCATGGAAATAAATGGCCAAGTCATTTACGGTTTTTATGCCTTTTGTTTTCCATGTGGACCAATTTAAAATCGGTGAATTCTGAAAAGCTATCCAAGGATTGTTCCATAAAGTTGTGTTTTTAGCGAGTGATATCGGTTCTTGTAGAATAAGTTACATTTTCTTCCATATTGTTATATTGTTCTTAACTATGAAGTTGTTAATGTTCTTAACTTTATCCTTTGAAAATAGATACGTAAAAATATTCTGGGGATGAGCATGCACATCTTCAATATGTACCCATTGTTCCTCTTTTAACTATATGTCGCAAGTAAAAGCCCTGGGTAGCGAGTTAATACATTTCCAAGTCTGGAAGGTTAAAACCACCCTCAGACTTAGGAAGATGTAAAACTTTCCCTTTTATTCTATGAATTTTATTTGCCCATATAAAGTCTTATGACTGAGTATACTTTTTTAAAGAATGTCTTCAGTGGGATAATTGGTATTATCGAAAATTAATTCAAAAACTTCGGCAGACATGCCATTCTAAAAGAGGTTTATTCTACCTGTAAGATTTATGAGAAGATTTTTCAATTTAATTTGATCTTTCATATTGTTGAGTAATGGAATAAAGTTATCTTTATATATTTGTTGTCAATTATTAGGCCTTTTCGGCTTCAACAGCCATTATTGATGAATCTATATCTTATTTATTGATGAAATTTTTTTTTGGGTGCAGATCAGCTTCAATATTTCAGATAGATTGTAGCTTCCATCAATGTAATTGTCTGCATCATTTCCAATCTCCCATATTTGTTTTGTATACACACTACCGGTCAAAAGTTTGGACACCTACTCATTCAAGGGTTTTTCTTTATTTTTACATTGTAGAATAATAGTGAAGACATCTAAACTATGAAATAACACATATGGAATCAAGTAGTAACGCAAAAAGTGTTAAACAAATCAAAATATATTTTATTTGAGATTCTTAAATAGCCACCCTTTGCCTTGATGACAGCTTTGCACACTCATGGCATTCTCTCAACCAGCTTCACCTGGAATGCTTTTCCAACAGTCTTGAAGGAGTTCCCACATATGCTGAGCACTTGATGGCTGCTTTTCCGTCACTCTGCCGTCCGAATCATCCCAAACAATCTCAATTGGGTTGAGGTCGGGGTTTTGTGGAGGCCAGGTCATCTGATGCAGCACTCCATTACTCTCCTTCTTGGTAAAATAGCCCTTACACAGCTTGGAGGTGTGTTGGGTCATTGTCCTGTTGAAATTTTTTTTAGCCCCACTAAGCCCAAACCAGATGAGATGGTGTATCGCTGCAGAATGCTGTGGTAGCTATGCTGGTTAAGTGTGCCATGAATTCGTAATAAATCAGACAGTGTCACCACCAAAGCACCCCCACACCATAACACTTCCTCCTCCATGCTTTACGGTGGGAACTACACAAGCGGAGATCATCCGTTCACCCACACCACGTCTCACAAAGACACAGCAGTTTGAATAAAAAAATGTCCAATTTGGACTCCAGACCAAAGGACAAATTTCCACCGGTCTAATATCCATTGCTTGTGTTTCTTGGTCCAAGCAGGTCTCTTCTTCTTATTGGTGTCCTTTAGTAGTGGTTTCTTTGCAGCAATTCGACCATGAAGGCCTGATTCACACAGTCCCCTCTGAACAGTTGATGTTGAGATGTGTCTGTTACTTGAACTCTGAAGCATTTATTTGGGCTGCAATTTCAGAGGCTGGTAACTGACACATCTCAACATCCTCTGCAGCAGAGGTAACTCTGTGTCTTCCATTCCTGTGGCGGTCCTCATGAGAGCCAGTTTCATCATAGCGCTTGATGGTTTTTGCGACTGCACTTGAAGAAACTTTCAAAGTTCTTGAAATGTTCCGTATTGACTGACCTTCATGTCTTAAAGTAATGATGGACTGTCGTTTCTCTTTGCCTATATGAGCTGGTTCTTGCCATAATATGGACTAGGTCTTTTACCAAATGGGGCTATCTTCTGTATACCCCTCCTACCTTGTCATAATACAACTGATTGGCTCAAACGCATTAAGGAAATAAATTCCACAAATGACCTTTTAAGAAGGCACACCTGTTAATTGAAATGCATTCCAGGTGACTACCTAATGAAGCTGGTTGAGAGAATGCCAAGAGTGTGCAAAGCTGTCATAATAATAATGCCATTTAGCAGACGCTTTTATCCAAAGCGACTTAGTCATGTGTGCATACATTTTTCATCAAGGCAAAGCGTGGCTATTTGAAGAATCTGAAATATAAAATATATTTTGATTTGTTTAACACTTTTTTGGTTACTACCTGATTCCATATGTGTTATTTCATAGTTTTGATGTCTTCACTATTATTCTACAATGTAGAAAATAGTAAAAATAAAGAAAAACCCTTGAATGAGTAGGTGTCCAAACTTTTGACTGGTATTGTATGTATCTATCTATCTTTCTTGTTTTCTTGCATATTGTATTAAACTGAAACATGTTCTTGTATTTGTTTGTGTCTATGTTTAATAAACCCTGTTTGATTGATATGTATCAAGTCTGGTAAGACTTTTGCCATTCTGTTGGGACTTGCATTCTATTCAACCTACTTGGGCTTGGGACTGGCCTTGTCTGGGCCCAGCTGAGACAGGACAAAGTGTGGGGCCTTGGCACTGTCTGCATCAAACATGTCCATGCTGTCCTCTGGGGGTGAAGGCTTGGGCCCGGGCCGCTGGCGGGGGGTGCGTTTACGGGATTTGCGGGGGACCTCTGTGTTGTCATTGTAGGAGCTGGAGCTGAGCAGGCTGAAGTTGGAGGCTGAGTCGTCGGCCCAGATGCTGCTGCTGTATTCTGAGTCTGGCCCTGCTGGCCCGGCCGGGGCTGGATCCTCCTGGCAGGACATATTGCTGTCATCAAATAGGTCCTCCGGAGGGGGGGAGATGCTCAGCACTGGCCTCCTCTTAGAGGGGGTGTTCTGGGGCTGCTGCTGGGCTCCCACCCCCCCTGCTGCTCCTGGGTCTCCTGTTCCAGAGCTGGTCCCACTGCAGCTTCCACCTCCAAGGGCAGACAGAGCTCCCTCCACACCCTGCATCTGTGATCCCCCTGGGGCTCCTGAACCCTCTCCAGGGGCACTGCTGGGATGGTGGAGGAGGAGGGGGGACTGGGGCTGTTTCATAGATGAGGTAGAGGGGGCTGTGCTGGGTCTGGGGCTGGTGGTGCAGGGGTCTCCCATGTCTTGAGAGGAGGATGGAGAAGGGCTGGAGGTGGAGGAGATGGCATCTGGAGTGTAGAAGATCACATTATTAGTACAGATGTCAATACAGAGCAGGCTAGCAGTCCCATTCAAGCAGCTGAATTTGTGCATGATCTAAATTCATTTGAGGATGTTTTTTGTGTGGCTACATGCCCTCACTGTGCATGCCAGAGCTCTCTGGTGGCGGTCAACTTTTCTGAAGTTAAAGTTGAGAATGGTACAAATAGGCCCCATGTTTCCCCCATTGGAATGTTTAATTCCTACTAAAACTTGCTCTTTAAAAATCAACGTGACAAAATGGACATGCTTTGTTTACAAAAAACTAAAGCAAGCTTCTAAAATCGTTACATACACATTGCCAGAAACAAAAACAGCAAGATCTGGTCAGTCAGACTTTCCTCTTAACAGACAAATTTGCAAACTAAAGATGCGGTGCCAAATTAAATGTAGAGGGGGGCTAGAGCAGTTTGTGCATACAGTATTAGGCCTATACAATGGTCTGAACATGCCAATTGGAGGATTTGATTAGGACTGAGCGTAGCCATGGCAACAGAATAAACAAGGCTCTGACCTATGGAGCAGTGACCTGCAGGCCATTTTATATGCAGCCACCCCATGCCTCAGAGGGAGGAAATTTCCTGCAATACAAATGAGACAGCCAATGAGCAACAAGAGCTGATCAGTCATGACTCAACTTCCTGGCAATCAGCAAATTGAATCAATGAAATACTGTTGTGAGGATAACTTAAGTTGTCTCTTAGTAGATTTTTAGTGTTTGAGTACAGCTGTGGCAGATGTTTTAGTGTGATTCCAGCTAGACTCGGAAAACTGAGCTTGAGGTAGAAGCTGCCCCTAACCACAGATCTAGGATCAGATTACCCTAGCCTGGCACATGTATGGCATGACAACGAGTCAGAGGAGTTGACTAAAACACATAGATCTGGGACAGGCTACCCTACACCCCAATCCTAACTAACCAATAAGGGGGTTAAGAATATATCTGAGCCTGTATCAGTGGTTAAGGTCAACTTATACATACTTCTGGTTTACTGTGCACAATGACAGCAGCCACTAGACTACCAAGTTCAGTCAGCTTCCTGTGCTAAAGGGAAGTGGTCTACTAGTCTTGTGTATGAGTACTCTGATGTTTTCAAAATCATTTCACGTTCTGTTTTAAAACCCCAACCACTGATGTGACACTACCACATATAGTTTTTTTCTGATCTAGGCCTAATACAAGATCTCTTGAGATATGAGATATTTTCTTTATGCTAGTCTACATGACTTAGTGTGTTCGTGTGTGTCATCTTATCTTCATCACAGAAAGGCTATAGCAGACAGGCAGTTCAGATCCAGACAGGCGTGCTAATTCAGAAGTGCTAAAAGGACATGATAATTGCTTTGCTAATTATAACCAGCTGTTTTCACCTCTTCCCACCATCTGAGAATAAAAACTAGCAATAGAAACTGACGGTAAATACAGTCTCTAGTGATGGGTTTAATTAATTTACTTCTCTCTATGTAAGAGAGATGAAAACATAAAACAATCAAACGAACTAAAACAAAACAGTTTTTAATTATATTTTGATTATAGACTAGAGAGAGATTACAGGCAACAGTAGTTTGTAGCCTAATATGACTTTAGGAATATATAGACCAAGGCCATGCTCATTCACTATTCATTTTAACATAAAACTATATTTATTCCCACTCTCTCACACCTGTCCCGTCTACAGTAACCATGGCCTACATTTGCCCTACAGAGGTGAAGACTTAATTTCCCAGAATACAGCACCACTAGCACCCACTGCCCCACAGGCACTCAGCAGGAAGGGTGGAGAGTTGTTCCCTAGACACTGATCTAAGGTCAGCCTAATGTTCTGCCCACTAACGATCTAGGTGAGGTTATGAGGAGAGTAATCTGATCCTAGGTCAGGCTGGTGGGTTGAGAGTGAGGGGCTTACCTGAGGCCAGGGATGCAGAAGGGGGTGGTCTGGCCTCTCCCCCACTCTTCTGGCTCATGGTGGGTGTGTCTGTCTTGGAGGAGGAGGACGGCTGCAGCTGGAGCTCCTTAGGGAGGAGGTCATACACAGACTCTGGAGAGGAGGAGAGAAATCAAGGGGTTTAATAGTGCACCAAACACCCCCACCAACTACCGCTACTGATGTAAGAGTGAGAGGTCGCCTGGTTGCTAAGAAACACAGCTCATCGACACCCTGACAGATATCTGCTGTGGATATGCAGCGTATCCATCCAGCATATGCAGCCTAGCAAGCAGTCATCTGATCTGCCAGTAATAAGTCAACCCCAGCAGCATCGTGAGACCAACTGACACAAGATCTCTGGCTCTGCGATGTCAGCCCTGCTGCTAGAGAGAGACACACACAGACAGTCCACACAAAGTCATCACAGCCAGCCCACACAAAGAGCTGCACTGTGCACACAGTCATTACAACCACTGTAGGGGGGAAACCTACAGCACAGCACTTATGTTCTGCTTCATTCACCAATGGTAGGACCAGATCAAAAGGCTAGTCCTACCTTAGCCAAGAATTCTCAACTGGAGTTGAGTGCCGAGGCAATGGGTTTTGGCGGAGTGTAGCCTACTTCCGACTACATTGAATCGGTACATGCGTAACTTGTACCTATATGTTTGTCCTGTGTAGTTGCATTCTTTTTTTATGCAATCTCCGTCAAGGGAGCCGTTGTTTGTTAACGCAGAAGGAGCAGCCCCGTCATTGCACGGCACAATTTGACAGAGGTCACATAGAATTACATTTTATCAAAAACTACAGATTGCAGAACCTAAAGAAAATAATGCAACTACACAGGACAAATATAGGTACAAGTTACGCATGAAAGAATGGACATTTTTACAAGTATCGACTGATACCTACTTGATGTAAAACTCATCGCCTCGGCACTAAACTCACTCGCTCCCCCATAACACAGTATTTCTCTCCCTCTAGTTCTCCATACTAGCTGGGGTCTGCTAATTTGCTATGGAAATTAGACATTTGCAAAAGCCCCACTATGTTTGCATAAAGTGAAAGAAATCAACATATAGAAAATGTGATTTGTGCGGATTTTGATAGAGCGATAGGCCAACGTGGGGGCGGGGGGAAGCACAGCAATATGCCTAGATTGTAACAATTGTATTTTATTAGCCTAGGCCTACAAGTCAGCCAAGTCCTGCATACTTCCCCTATTACAATCCGATTACCTCACCACATACTTATGCTGTCGGCTGGCTACACACTGCTCACATTACACTAGCTTTGAAGCTGTGCCAAGCCAACTGTCAGACTTTGTTTTTTTCGAAGCTAGCCCTTTGCTTTGATGACACAGAAATATATTTTTGTTACACCTGCCAGCCCACAAGCTGGACACCAAAAATCCACCAGCCTCCAGCAACGCCCCGTCTTCTAACATGCTTATTTAACTCACACGTAATCATGCACGCCAGACTTTACAGCTTGTATGCAATATTTATAGACACACGTCTGGTTCTATGAAATTAACAGAGTAAAAGACAAAGATCCTATCCACTCTGCAGTCTGCACTCACACAGCAAAGACAAGGCCAGACATTGAAATACAATAGGCTGCCTAGGTCATGGATAGCATAGCCTAGATCTAGCCTATCCACATGATGTGGGCGGCAGGTAGCTTAGTGGGTAAGAGCGTTGTGCCAGTAACCGAAAGGTCGCTGGTTCTAATCCCCGAGCCGACTAGGTGAAAATTCTGTCGATGTGCCCTTGAGCAAGGCACGTAACCCTAATTGCTCATGTAAGTCGCTCTGGATAAGAGCGTCTGCTAAATGACTAAAATGTTTTTTTTTTTTAATGATGACATAAGACTGGGATTCTCAACTAGATTCAGCCGCGGGCTGATTTCTTCTTGAGCGGATAATTACAAATAATTAGTAAACTGCAAATTGACCGCAAAAAGCCCAAACAGATATAATATGACAAAAACAATCATTTCAAACCTTGCTTACATTTGTATACGATCACGTCTATTATGCGTGGGAATACTTGGGAACAGATTTCCTAAATTAAAATCACACGGAGCTGATTTCCTGGTGTTTTTACAGTCATGTCCAACAATGAAAATAAATAAAGAATAATTATAATAATATTTTGTGGGGGTCAAATAAAACCACCCCGGGCCAAAGTCGGCTGGTGGGCCGCCAGTTGGGGAGCCCTGATATAAGATGTAACCAATCTACCTACAGTAAACCACTTGAAGTATTTATGAATTATCCTTAGCCAATTACTGTCATATAAATAAACTACACACTCCTCATCACATTAGACAGCAGCACCATATGGCTAGCTCCTGTTAGCGTGGCAGGGCCACTAATATGGCTCATTAATGTACCACACACAGGGTCTGGACAGATGTGTCTGAACCATTGTGTCAGCAGGTAGGCTAGTCCATGTACAGAGCATCTGTAGACTGTGGGGAAAAAACATTGAGTTGAGTTAGGCCTACATCAGAAAACAGAACTCAAAACTAACAGTAGCATTGCTTCGCTGCAAGCCCCTATCTATGCCTAGATGACTAGTCAATAATGAATAAGAGAGAGGTCCAAAACCACTAGCAAACCTTATGCACCAAGACAGCGGAGTGTCTATAATGCCATTTTAAAATTATATATTTTGAAAGTTATGCAGAGGAGTTGACACCGCTATCAGCGCATGGCAGTCATATCTTCCACCTGTAGAAGGTATTTTGACTGGAACCCCCCAGGCTTTGATCACTCCGGACACAGCTGGACTAGAGGAGGAGTGGGCTGAGCAGTGACAGATGAAAATGAAGCCTGTTCATAGCACAGTGTTATCACAGGAGCAGCTTTGCATCAGTCAGCACCCACCACATCAGCTGGCCAAGTAGCCTAATCAGAGATACAAAAGATACAGCTAGGCTTGGACATTAGACGTTTCTAAGACACTGACTTGTAGGTCAATCTTCACATTGATCTTATTACCTTCCCTTATTATTATACCAAGAACAAAATGCCCTTCACTTTTGTTATTCAGACCGAAAGGGGTTACATTGTTTCAACATGGGGACTATATGAGCTACAGGACTGTTTTGCTAGCACAGACTGGAACATGTTCCGGGATTCTTCAGATAGCATTGAGGAGTACACCACATCAGTCACTGGCTTCATCAATAAGTGCATCGATGATGTCGTCCCCACAGTGACCGTACGTACATACCCCAACCAGAAGCCATGGATTACAGGAAACATCCGCACTGAGCTAAAGGGTAGAGCTGCCGCTTTCAAGGAGCGGGACTCTAACCCGGACGCTTATAAGAAATCCCGCTATGCCCTCCGACGAACCATCAAACAGGCAAAGAGTCAATACAGGACTAAGATTGAATCGTACTACACCGGCTCTGACTCTCGTTGGATGTGGCAGGGCTTGAAAACTATTACAGACTACAAAGGGAAGCACAGCCGCGAGCCTCCCAGTGACACAAGCCTACCAGACGAGCTAAACCACTTCTATGCTCGCTTCGAAGCAAGCAACACTGAAGCATGCATGAAAGCACCAGCTGTTCCGGATGACTATGTGATCACGCTCTCCGTAGCCGATGTGAGTAAGACTTTTAAGCAGGTCAACATTCACAAGGCCGCAGGGCCAGACGGATTACCAGGACGTGTACTCCGAGCATGTGCTGACCAACTGGCAAGTGTCTTCACTGACATTTTCAACATGTCCCTGACTGAGTCTGTAATACCAACATGTTTCAAGCAGACCGCCATAGTCCCCGTGCCCAAGGACACTAAGATAACCTGCCTAAATGACTACCGACCCGTAGCACTGACGTCTGTAGCCATGAAGTGCTTTGAAAGGCTGGTCATGGCTCACATCAACACCATTATCCCAGAAACCCTAGACCCACTCCAATTTGCATACCGCCCCAACAGATCCACAGATGATGCAATCTCTATTGCACTCCACACTGCCCTTTCCCACCTGGACAAGAGGAACACCTACGTGAGAATGCTATTCATTGACTACAGCTCAAAAGCTCATCACTAAGCTAAGGATCCTGGGACTAAACACCTCCCTCTGCAACTGGATCCTGGACTTCCTGACGGGCCGCCCCCAGGTGGTAAGGCTAAGTAACAACACATCTGCCACACTGATCCTCAACACGGGGGCCCCTCAGGGGTGCGTGCTCAGTCCCCTCCTGTACTCCCTGTTCACCCATGACTGCATGGCCAGGCACGACTCCAACACTATCATTAAGTTTGCCGACGACACAACAGTGGTAGGCCTGATCACCGACAACAATGAGACAGCCTATAGGGAGGAGGTCAGAGACCTGGCCGTGTGGTGCCAGGATAACAACCTCTCCCTCAACGTGACCAAGACAAAGGAGATGATTGTGGACTACAGGAAAAAAAAAGAGGACTGAGCACGCCCCCACTCTCATCGACGGGGCTGTAGTGGAACAGGTTGAGAGCTTCAAGTTCCTTGGTGTCCACATCACCAACTAACTATCATGGTCCAAACACACCAAGACAGTCGTGAAGAGGGCACGACAAAGCCTATTCCCCCTCAGGAGACTGAAAAGATTTGGCATGGGTCCTCAGATCCTCAAAAAAATTATACAGCTGCACCATCGAGAGCATCCTGACTGGTTGCATCACCACCTGGTATGGCAACTGCTTGGCCTCCGACCGCAAGGCACTACAGAGGGTAGTGCGTACGGCCCAGTACATCACTGGGGCCAAGCTTCCTGCCATCCAGGACCTCTATACCAGGCGGTGTCAGAGGAAGGCCCTCAAAATTGTCAAAGACTCCAGCCACCCTAGTCATAGACTGTTCTCTCTGCTACTGCACTGCAAGCGGTACCGGAGTGCCAAGTCTAGGTCCAAAATACTTCTCAACAGCTTCTACCCCCAAGCCATAAGACTCCTGAACAGCTAATCATGGCTACCCGGACTATTTGCACTGCCCCCCCACCCCATCTTTTTAAGCTGCTGCTACTCTGTTAATTATTTATGCATAGTCACTTTAACTCTACCCACATGTACATATTACTTCAACTACCTCAACTAGCTGGTGTCCCCGCACATTGACTCTGCACCAGTACTCCCCTGTATATATAGCCTCCCTACTGTTATTTTATTTTACTTCTGCTCTTTTTTTCTCAACACTTTTTTGTTGTTGTTTTATTTTACTTTTTTAATTAAAAATAAATGCACTGTTGGTTAAGGGCTGTAAGTAAGCATTTCACTGTAATGTCTGCACCTGTTGTATTCGGCGTATGTGGCCAATACAATTTGATTTGATATGTTATTTAAACCAATAAAATGAGGTAGCTAGATAATATCGATAATATAGCTAGCTATCATGTTTCATATCTCTGATTCAGAGGGGTTGAGTTAAATGCGGAAGACACATTTCTGTTGAATGCAATCAGTTGTACAACTGACTAGGTATCCCCCTTTCCCTTTCCCATATAATTCTGAATAGAGTTTGATTTCTGAACCTACCTTAAAACTTCTACTTCACTTTTGACAAGGCCTGCCAATTAGCCATTTACTGTAAAAGATGTGAGCTTGTCACACGCTAGTTTTTTTTTTTACTATCCTTGTGGGGACAAAACAATTGATTCCCATTCAAAATCCTATTTTCCCTAACCCTAAACCTAACCCCTAAGCCTAAAGTCGCCTTTTCCCTTGTGGGGACCAGCGAATTTCCCCTGTTTTACTCTCCTTGTGAGGACTTCTGGTCCCCAAATGGATAGTAAAACCAGAAACACACACACACAGTTGTAAGCACACAACGCACGCATCTTAAAATTATCCACACCAGATGACCTGCTTTTAACCTGCTACGCGCCTAAATGCTTGCCAAATGGTCTAGTCAAATTCTCAGTATTTGGTTTAGCCAGCCAAGGCAATGGAGCATGTTGGCTAATGTAGCCAACTAGCAAAATCATCGTGACAAATGCAGCAAGACATCGAGGAGGGGTTTGTTACTATACAACTTCAACATAACCTTAACTAACGTTTAGATCACGCCGCCCACAGTCATGGGACCGAACCACAACGAGTGCCCCGAGGGAAAACAATAACACAACACGCCTCCTGCTGCTAGCTAACGTTAGATGCTAGTTTGTCCCTATACTAGTTTGTCCATCACGCACACATTAGCTAACTAGCTATCACGCATCAGCTCTCTATCTACTTTACTAGCTAGCCAACTAACAGTAGCTAGCTAACGTTATCTAGCTAGCCAACCAGCTAACGTTATTTATCTAGCTAACTTAGCTACCTATCTTTCCGTTTAACAGTCATAGTCCAAAACAATGAAAAAACGATTCAAAGGCATCGATGCCATAAGGCATAACAGTGATAGAAATAAGTCTTACCTTTAGAGTAAAGGGATTTGGGGGAATTAA